TATCAAATAGCAAGAAGAGATCTTGCAGAACCTGCGTCAGGGACGCGAAGCATTGGAGAGGGCGCGTCGTGGCCATGCAATTGAAAACGCGGCCAAACCGTTTGACCTTGTAGGAGTGGAACCAAATCAATCAACGCAAGCGGGGAAACAACTTAAGGAGATACCGACATTCCCCGAGTTCCATAAACCGACCGAAGAAACCTCGGTCAGATTGCCCGCTGCGTCGGGAGACCACTCCGGCCCGCCGAATCTCTCCGACGGCTCAGCTGGCTGTGGAGGCGGCGGCGGGAGAGGGCCCCCGGGGGGGGCGGGGGGGCGGTGGCGGAGGAGGCAGCGACGAGGACGACCGAGGGCCAATAATTGATCCCATGGAGACCTGGAAGCAGGTAAGCACAGCGTCGGAGTATATTGATGTCTGTCCCCGATGCAATTGCATTGTGTAGGTGGAAATTGCGCGCTGCGAGGGCATGTGCGCCCGCTTCGCCAGATGCGCCAGGTTCTACGCCGCGGAGCGCGCGGGCCGAGGACTTTGAAGTAGATGCGGAAGTTCTACAGAAACCTGGGGCATATGAGCGCATCGACATGTTCATTGCTTCTGATCTCACAGAGAAATCTGCAAAGATGAGACAGAAGAGGGGCGCGGCCCCGCGCCAGGTTCACCTTGTGGCTCAGGCGTGTCGAATGGAAATTTCGGCACACAGCGAATCCCCATCGCTCACTGGGCGTGAGATGGCACGATTGACGCGTCGATGGCCCTCCACGCGCGCCGAACGCGGCAGGAACATGGTAGAGAGAGACCTTTTCAATCGTGTCATCCATAAATTAAACCCAGGTGAGGACCTGTACCACTACTGCAATGAATGGGTGGCCTCGCGCAATGATGTTCACCGTGGCTCTGGCCCACTCTGGAAGTCGCAGCAGCTATCCATGAGCATCTTCACGAACCAATGAACTGGTCTCCCAGAAATGGGGCATTACATACGACGGCGCGCACAGCGGCCCAATGGGATCCGACACCGAGAGACATATGTGCGACGATTAGGAGGTCATGGAACAGGAGAGAAACGATTGCAATCTTGAGCGTCGCCACTTGGCTCGCGCATGACAACGCATGCAAGATCAAAGACGCGCGCTTCGACAGCTTGCGCCCTGCCAGTTGAAGACCCGCCCCCAATCCAGCAACGCACATCCGATCGGAGGAGTCGGATGGAGCTAAAGATGGCTAAAAGTACTGCCCCGCGCCCCTTGCCTCGGCCTGCGCACCCCTCGCGGGGGCCCGCGATGGCTGCCGCCTCTGATCGGCGCCCCCCGGCGGCCGCTGCGGCGGCTGCTGCGCGCGAGCCACTGCTGGCTGCCATGTCTGATGAGCGCGCGCTGCGCGAGGTTCCGCGGGGGGCGCCCTGGCCGCCCGCGCGGGGGCGAGGGGCGAGGCCAAGTGGCAGGAGCCCGAACGCCGACCGGAGAATCGCCGAGTCGGAGCCGCTGCCGCCATGGAAAAGCACGGCGCCATGGCACAATCAAGCGCGTGATCAGAATAAGTGGATGGAGAGTGGCGCATCGAGCAGTCACACGACAAGAGACAAGCACCATCGCGGGCAGCGCCAGCGCCGGGGCCGCAATAATGACCACCAGCGCGGTGGTGAATCGTTGTGGATCGAAAGAAACGGCGATTGCAAGATGGACGTCGAAGACACAATAGGACATTACAGAATATACACTTCAAAATGAACGAAGTGAAAATATGTTGCTGAGAGAGGCCCAGCTTCTCAGGCACCACATGCGGAAGAAGAGCGGGAGGAAGCTCCTGCACCTGAACTTCCGCCCTCACTACTGAGCATGAGTACTTTTTATTTGGGGTGCGTCGGCTCGCTTCGACCTCGCCCACTGCGGCTTCCAGCGTTAGTATCGCCACCCTTAACCCGCGTGCCCGACGCGTTTTTGGGGGCGTGCTCTGGGGAGCGCGGGGCCCTCTGGGCTGGGTTGGGGTCTACCCGGCCTGCCGAGGGGGAAGTTGTGATGGTTCTCTCCCCCCTCGCTCTGCGCCGCCGCCAGCCGCCGACGCCGCCGCCGCGCCGCTGCCCCGCAGCAATCTTAGCAGGATCAAGGCAGGATCGCGCGCCGCCTGGGCGCGGGAGGAAGGGTGAGAGGAAAGGGTATATTTGTCTTGTGATTTGCTTACCTCTTCTCTCATCGTTCTTGCATATCCATATCATTGCTTAGCGGATCCACCATGAGCTTTGAGACCCATGACATGCTGCGATCATTCAGTCCCACTTTCGCTGGGAATATGGATTCTCTTGCGAATGCCGAATCTCGCTCTCACTTTATTTCCTTATCCCCATTGCCTCTCCGTCGAGTTCCCATTGCTGCCGCCCCCCACCCCTCCGACCTTCGTCGTCCGCCCCTGACCTTGCCCTCCCATTTGTCTTCGCGATTCCCTCGTTGCTGTTTGCTCCTTCCTCCCAAATCCATCGTCGCAGTCCAGTGGGCTCCAGCAGGGGGCATTCCCTTCGTAGACGGCGCAGCTATGCTCGGTTCAGCTCCAAACGTGATGCCGCCAAGACTTTTTACCCATCACGGCTGCACGGTCTAAACATACAGTGAGACACGCACGTGCGCAAGGGGATCTGCGTGCTGGACTATGCGAGACGAGCGCAGTTGCCAGTTTCACACATGTGTTCCGCATGATGTGCGTTTGGTGTGCGCATTGTCAAAGCATGTTGTCCACGGCCCATCAGGTACCACAACAGCTCCAACACGCGGCCCGAAAGAGCTGTCTCAAACAACTGGTCTGCGCCGCGCAGCCGTGGCTGGCCTCTGCGGGGCGGTGCGAGCTGCGCGCCTTCCCTGATGGGATGCCAAGGTGTCTTGGCCGACGGTGTTGCCCATGACGTTCCGAAACATTGTCACGTTGTTGTTGGCACCTCTTCGCCGTTGTAGCCAGATGTCTCCTGCGATTTTGCTGCCCCGCCCAAGTGTGGAAGCGTCTTCGAGGTCCGTTTGGCCCAGAGTTTGCTTCGGCTGTTGCTGCGTATGATACGAGCGAGGGGTGCGACAGAGGCAGTTTTGACGCGCGCCCGCCCGCGCGCGAAAGCGAGAAAGACAGAGAAAGAGAGAGAGAGAGAGGGAAAGACAGAGAGAAGTGTCTTTTGTGTAGGACCCCCGTGAGGACCTGACGATTTGGTTTTGCGTGCGGCGGCCCCGGGTTCAGGGTGTGGGCCCTCCGTGTGGGTCCCCCGTGCGTGTCCTCCGTACTGACGTTTGCCGTCCCAGTGGCCACACGCACGCGAGGGGGAGAGGTCACATCGCTCCTCGCTTGGACGATGTGTTCTTCCGGGCAGCGCTTCCCACGTCCATGTGGTTTTGGGTGCGGCCTTGGCCTTCCCAGGACCCTCGCGCGGTGATGTTCCCTCGGCCTGGCCCCCAGAGGTCTGGACCCCCTCTCTGGGAAGGGCCTATCAGCCAGAGCCTTGGCATCGCTCGGACGTGTGCATGTTTCCTTCGGCGATGGCCATCGAGGAGCATCCTTGAACACTTGGCGAAAAAACCACGCACGAAACCGAAAAAAACACAGGGAATGGACGTCCGAACGATGGCCAGGAGCAGACTTCGACGCCCCCAGAGCCCAGCGAGGGCCCCTGCAGGAGAAGACCGTGGGAAGCGTCCGCCAAGGTTTTGCCCAGGCGAGAGGACGTGGGGGGGTTCCAGTTAAGGCGGGGGCGTTCGTTAAGGAATGTGCCCCGAGGTTGACGGTTTACCGCCTGCTCCCAGTCTGGCAGCATGAAATTTTAGGGGTTCTACGAAGTCGGTTCCCGCCAGGTGTTCGATACTGCAGCTGCGGACCTGAGAAGTCGACAGACAGACGCGACATAACCCACTCTAGGTGCGAAAAACTATTCGCCTGAGACCTTGGGAGATGCCTTCTCTGATGAGGGCGGTGGTGATGTCCATGGCCAGTCCACGATTGGAGTTCCACCGGCCTCCGGCCCCTAGATTCCTGACCCAACGGTTCCTTATCCAATGCCCCCGCCGTACCTGGCGTACTGCCGGGCATGGCGGTCAGCAGCGGGCCGACGGTCGTGCCGCGAGGCACCCCATGCTCGGCGCGCGCGCACGCCCGGCTGGATGCGGGCCCGCCTCCCGCGGCCTCCTGCTCCGCGAGGCCGAGTCCTGGAGCCCCGCCGCGCTGGCGGTGCTGGAGGAGGACAGGCAGTTCAACCAGGAACTCGGAGGCGGGAATGTGTCCAGAAGCCATCGCCTGGGGGAGCGATCTTCCAGGACCTCGGCAGGCGGTTGTCACGGATGTGTTAGGGCTCCCTGGGGCCCAACCATGTCCATATCCACCGCCCCGCTGGGGTCCCAGGACGTTGATTACCTAGGTGGTGGATCTGGATCTATCCTGCCTTACAGGAGCGGAGGGGGGGACTTCGTCCACGAGTGGCGAACATGCATCGATGTCCACGCCCTCGCTCAGGGGGCGAGAAGAAGGCACCGATGCATGTTGGGAACCACTCGCTTTCGCTGCACGGTGGGCCTCCCGGGAGGCCCCCGTCGCCGCGGCCAGATTTGCCGCGCGAGTATTCCCTGTCAGGGCGCACGCCAGGAGTGGCCAAGGGACTCTGGGGCGCGATGCCGCGCATGCGCGGTCGCCTGGGTACGCTCCGCGCGAGGCCTCCGCGAAAAAGCTCCCTACATCCATGGGGTCGCGGGTCAGGGGCCCTCCTTTTCCTTCTCCTTCTCCTCCTCATCCTCCTCCCCCTCCTCTTCCTCCTCCTCCTGCTCCTCCTCCCGCGAGGCCGTGGATGTGGACGTTTTTCCCGTCCACGCGCATCGCGCGGCTTCGGCACCAGTGCTTCCATGGGTGTCGGCTCGAATCGGCGGCGAGCGAGGGGAGGAAGTGAGAAGCTAGGTGCGCTCGCTGCCTCCCATCCCTCACCATGGCGTAGATATCCTCTCTATTCGCACAGTCGTATATCGAGGGGGGAAGTGAGAAGGAGAAGGCCTTCTCAGAAGGCGGCGAATTTCCTCCGAATCCCTCGCGCCTTCTGAGAGGTTTCCTCGGTCCTCGGGGGAGGTTCAGACAACCCTTCAGAAGGCCAGGGGACTTCCGAGACTTCTGAGAAGGCCCGCCCCTTCTCACTTCCCATGCCTCGCTCGCCGCCGATCCAAATAGCCAAACTGCCCATGGTGGGCCTGTTTCCCACCACCACCACCACCACCACAAGTTACAGGGGGAGGGGGTCCTCCTCCTCCTCCTCCTCCTCCTCCTCCTCCTCCTCCTCCTCCTCCTCCTCCTCCTCCTCCTCCTCTTCGCCCTCCTCCTCCTCTTCGTCCTCCTCCTCCCCCTCCTCCTCCTCCTCCTCCCCTCCTCCTCCCCCTCCCTCCCCCTCCTCGTTTTCCTCCTCCTCCTCCTCCCCCTCCTCCTCCTCCTCCTCCTCCTCCTCCTCCTCCTCCTCCTCCTCGTTGTCCTCCTCCTCTCCCCCCTTCAACTTCTGGTGGCGCTGGTGGGAAACAGGCCCGTCATGCCCAGCCACCAGGCTGCGCCCATCCCCGCAGCGCACTGCGCGGACCTGCGCCGGGGCCTCCCTATTAGCGCCGCCCCGGCGCCGCCCCCTCGGGGGCGCTCGGTGCGCCGCGGAGAGGGGGCCCGTCGCCAAGCCAGCAGGTCCGCGCGGACCTCCGAGGGTTCGCGGCAGAAAAATCGCTTCGCGCATGCCGCCCGACAGTACATTCGGCCCAGATTAGTAGGTCGACCCTGCCAAATCAAGGGTGCCCTGGTGTCCTGTGTCTCGCGGCCCATGCTTCCTGCATTCCTGTGGCAACGTGGCCCTCGGAAGGGCCTCGTGTCCTCTGGCGTGTCCGGTCCAATCGAGTCCGACTGTTTTGCTACGCGCGGGGCACATTATGCACAGCAGCGGCGACGGCGGCAACGATGGCAAACAGTGGTTACGCGTTGCCACGAACCAGCAGCAACGGGATGCATCGGAAGAGAAGCTTCTTATTTACCGCGACAGCGACCTCCAGCTCTGACCGGGCCCCGGCCCGCACGCCGCGCCTTTGCAGGGCCGTCCCCCCGTCGGGACGCACGCCAGCGCCTCGCCTCGCCTCGCCTCGCCGTCCCATTTAGCATCACCGTTGGGTGGTGGTGCTGCGAGATGGTTCAAGGGAGCTGCAGCAGAGTTTCGAGCGCTCAGGCAGTTTCACAGGGTTGCGGAGCATCTCCAGGAGGCGTGGCGGAGTGCAGGACCGTCCCAGCAGACAAGTCTCAGGCCTTTCTGGGGATCTTTTGGGCTGTCTTGCGGCGATCTTGGTGGCCTCTTGGGCCGTCCATGGCAGTCGGCAGCCTGAACAGGCGGTACCGCCAAAATCGTCCGAAACTGTTGACGACATAAATGAGTTTAGCATGTCTGCGGCGTCTCGAAGTCCTCTTGGGACTCTCCTGGGGCGTGCTTCTCGGGCCACCTTGGGATCAATTTGGGCCATCTAGAGTGTTTCCTAGGTGCCTGCCGGCGGCCGTGGGGGCGAACTTTCGGGGCAGGCTCGATGTGCTGGGTCGATCGAGTTCCCCCTCCTGAGGCGCTCGCGGGAGCTTCGGAGGCCCTCGGGGGAGACCTCTTGGGCTGCCTCGTGGCTCTTTTGGGGCCGTCTCGGGCCCGTCCTGGGGGGTCTGTTGGGCTGTCTTGGGACGATCTTGGTGGCCTCTTGGGCCGTCCAGGGCAGTCGGCAGCCCGAAAAGACGGTACCGCCAACATCGTCCGAAAACTTTCTATACGAAATGCATGCCTTGAGTACGTCTGCGGCGTCTCGAAGTCCTCTTGGAGCTCCCCTGGAGCGTCTTGGGCGCTTCTCGGACCACCCTGCAATATTCAAAAGATGTATGCAATACAATCACAAATTAGAACTCCAAAACAATGATAACTTTATGTATTGCATACAAATGGGATCAACTTGACCTCTTGGAACTCTCCTGGAGCGTCTTGGGCGCTTCTCGGACCACGGACCTGCCGCCCACTGGGCGCCTCACTGAGGCGCTCCGCTCCGGGGGCACCCCGGGTCCGCGCCCGGGAGCTCCGTATATGTCTCCGATCTGGACCTGCGGGGACCTGACCGGGGTGCTTTTCGTCCGGGGGCCCCGAAGGACTTGGCATCGCTCGGACGTGTGCATTTTTTCGCGGCGACGGCCATCGAGGACCATCCTTGATCATTTGGCGAAAAATTAAAAAACACGCACGAAATCGAAAAATACACGAGGCATGGACGTCCGAGCGATGGCGAAAGGACCCGCCACGCGCGTGCGACTTCGAAGCAATCTTAGACTCTTACCGGAGATTTAGCACGCCTCTGGCCCGTTGGGCCGGGGAATCTGTATTTTCAAACACCTTCTATCTACTGCCATTAGCGGCCAGTCACGGCACGAGAGCTCCTTGCAGGCAGCATGTGTTACGAAATTGATTGCAAGCAGCGTGGTATCGCTACCGCCTGGCATGCAAACGAGCATGAGTGGTGATTTCGACGGCGACATGCCGCTGATGCTACATTGTTGCCGCCTTACCTGGCACGAAATGCTCCGGCACCAGCAACATCTGACAGGTCTGGCTACCGAAAAGTCCTGTTGTGAAATTGGCATGCCTTGATGGCACTCCTGCGGAAATCGCAGGCAGTTGACGCGCAGGGGTTGCAAAGTCGCGTGGGCGTCCAGCAAAAGGGCCCGGCGCCGCCTGCGAGGGTTCCTTTGATCGGCGCCGGGACGACGAGCGGTTCCCGATCGTTCTTCCGCACAGGCCATCTCACCACCACCTTCGAAGAAGAAAACACACCTTGTGGCGCTCCGCGCGGATTTCTTGGATCCGCACTGGGCTCCCCTCGGCGGAGCCTCTGGCGCCGCCCCTGGCGCGCTCCGCGCGCCAGGGAGGGGTGTCCGGCTCAGATTCAAGACATCCGCGCGGAGCGCCAAAAGTTGATGTTCATGGCGTGTTGTCTTTCTTCTTCTGCTGATGATCTTCGTGTTAGTGGGATGTTCTTGTGTGGTTTCGATTTCCTCTAGATTATTTATCCCACCTGTCGGGGTACTTCCAGGCACAGCTGGCCATCATGGGTGGACGCCGGCGCGTCGCACATTTGGCGGCAGACTCCCAGCACTGAGCAGTTGATCTTCGTGGAGCTTGGCATTTCCGGGACCTTCCTGCCATGGAGGCAACAGACATTGTCCTATGCTGTGCACCACCACTTGCCGTGCCAGGGGCATCTCGGGACCTACAGTGCCGTTTTTTATACATGCTCCGCGTGCGGATCATTTATAAAAAATGCAGGCTTTTAGTATTAAGAACAACGATGAGTTCATGCATATTTTCCATCAATTGATCATGTATCAAGAATCCCATTTAAAAGAAATCCCATGTATTAAAGACGGCACTGTACGTTGGTGCGTGTGCGCAAGCCCCCCCGGCTTTCGGCCAGGAGGCGCGAAATTGTGCGCCACGCCAGGGGCCGGGCCAGAGCGGCCCTGGCCAGGTACAGTGGTGGTGCAGAGAGTTATAAGTCGGGCGAAGCTCTCTACAGGAGGCAGATCCAAAAAAAGTCCAACAATAATATGGGGTCGATGTTTCGAACATTCGTTTTGACAATGTTTGGGCATGTTTGTTTGCTGCTATTTTCACTTGTCGTCCAAAGTCCGCCTGCAGGAGGACATGCCCGACCTAAGCATAGATATGTGCTGCGTGTTCGCCCTCGGTCCTCGTTGGCGATGGGCGGCGTAGGGAGGGCGGCCAGCCCCTCGTGAACTCTCGAGCCCACTGTGGCCACGTTCGCCTTGTCCCTGGGGGGCAGCCCAAACCATGCAGCCAGGGCTCGACAAGAGTTTCCAATGCTGGCGCTGACTCCTCTGGTTTGTCCCCTGATACCCCAGCTTCGCGGCCCGATGAGTGGATTGGCCAGAGAGTCCTCGAGGAGAGAGTTCGGTTTCGCACGGGGGGCAGAACGCGCCTTCCCTTCTTCATGACTCCATCAGCACTTCTGCAGCCTGTGAGCGCCATACGCATTGCCCCCCAAGAGGGGGTTCTCTCTTTCAAGGGGGGGTGCAATCATTGCGTTCTGTGCCACACGGAGGGGCGCGACTTCTGGGAAAGAGGGAGAGGATGGGGGGGAGGAGGCAGTGAGGGGAGCGAGGGAAGCATGAGGAAGGAGAGGAGGAGGAGGAGGAGGGAGAAAAGAACGATTACGAGGAC